CCCCCCACCATCCTTCCCATGGCACACACAGCAAACGGGGGGCCCTCTGTGATCCCAAAGTGGGGGGGGTTACAGCCCCGTTGGGGTCAGTGAGGGCTTTGGGATACAAATAACACAAATGAGAGGGGGGGCTCAGTGACCCCAAAATGGTTGGGGGGGGGGAAACAACTCAATATGGCGCAGGGACCCAAAAACCCCAATACTGGGGGGGGCTAAACGACTGAGAGAGCCCAATATAGGGGGCTGAGGGAACCAAAGAGCCCAAATAAGGGGACTAAGGGACCCACAAACCCCAATACAGGAGGCTCAGGGACACAAAGAGCCCAAATAGGGCTTAAAGGACACAGAAGTCCCAATATAGAGGGTTGAGGGACCCATAGACCCCAATATAAGGAGCTGAAGGACCCAAAAACCCCTACAGGGGGCTCAGGGACCCATAGACCCCAAATTAGACCCAAAGAGCCCAATATAGGGGAGCTAAAGGACCCATAGGCCTAAATATAGGGGGGCTCAGGGACCCATAAACCCCAATATAAGGGGCATAGGGACCCAAAGAGCCCAATATAGGGGGACTAAAGGACCCAATGACCCCAAATGGGGGCTCAGGGACACACAGACCCCAATACAGGCATCTCAGGGACCCATAGACCCCAAACAGGACCCAAAGAGCCCAATGTAGGGGGGCTAAAGGACCCATAGACCCCAATATAGGCAGCTCAGGGACCCATAGACCCGAATACAGGGGGCTCAGGGACCCATAGTCCCCAATATAGAGGGGCTGAGGGACCCACAGACCCCAAATGGGGGTCAAGGGAGCTACAGACCCCAATAAAGGGGCTTAAAGGATCCACAGACCCCGGTAGAGGGGGCTGAGGGCCCCAAAAACCCCAAAATGGCTCTCAGGACGCCCCACAGGAGCCGCCCCCCCCCCAAATTTGGATACCTACGGGCTGCAGGTGGCGCCGCTCGGCATCATGGGACAGCCAGGCCTATGGGGTGAATGGGATCAGAACGAGAACCGGGGGGTTCGGAGCGCCCCAAAACGACCCCCGCCCCCGCCCCCACCCACCGCCCTTCTGTCAGACCGCTCTGCCCTCAGAAATATCCACCAATCAGCGAGCGCGCTGCTGGGTAAGCCCCACCCCACCGCGAGAGCTCAACCAATCAGCACCCACCAAAACAGCGTCTCTACCGGGCCAGCCAATCAGCACTCAAGTCACCTCACGCTAATCCCGCCTCCCTTCTATCCGCTGCCCAATCAGCGCGCAGCCACCGTCAATCAGCTCCGCGCGATACCCAATCGGCGCTCGGCGCTTCCCGCCGCCCCGCAGCCCGCTCCGAATCCCCGCCGCACTGCGGCACTCACCGGGCGCGGCCCAATCGCGGGAAAGGCCCGGAGCCGCCGCACCGCCCTCAGCGCCGCCGCCATCGCCACCGCTCTGACACCGCGCCGGGATCTCGCGACAGGGAAAGCTCCAAATATCGCGAGGCTTCGCGGCCGGGGGGGGGAGCGGGACCAAAACTCGCGAGATTGCTCGGAGGCGCGGGTAGGAAATCTCGCGAGACATCCCGCAGTAGCCGCCATTTTGTGCCCGCGAGGCGCGGCGCGTGTCGGGCGGCCTCCCTTCTGCTTCGCAGCGGCGCCATTTTGTTCAGGGCCCGGGGCGCCGTCAAACCCCCGTGTAAAATTGCTAGAGTCGCTACGAAAAGCCTAAGCCCTGACGGAAACATAGAAAAAAGCGGGCGGCTGCGAGCTCGCTGCGCATGCGCGGTGGGGCTCCCGCGACTTTTTTCACACCTCTCTTCTGTTCCTCCAGCGCCATAAAAGTCGCAGCGGCCATTTTGTCGGGAGGGCGTCCGTACTGCGCATGCGCCTCGTCGTAGCCACGCCCCTCGCAGGAGGCAGAGCCACGTGGCGCTCGGCCTCTTCCTCCCTATTGGTCACAGCGCGAAAGCCCGCACTTACCAATTTCTGATTGGATGCCTCAAGGCTGCGCTCAGCGCTGATTGGCTGAGGGGCGGGGTTTCACGGCCGGAAGGCGGAGCGGGCGGCAAAGATGGCGGCGCTGGCGGTGCTGTGGGGGCTGCTGGCGGCTGCGCTGCGCTCCGCGGGTACGGAGGGGATCCCGGGGGTCCGTGCCGAATCGGGGAGCGCTCAGAGATGCGCGGGGCGCGCTGAGCCGGGGGCGGGTGGCCGAACTTTGGAGGCCGGGGCTCGGATTTGGGGGCTGCGTGCGGGGCCCGGGGTTGAGGCCTGAAGTTTGGGGGTGGGGGTCGTGACGGTGCGCCCTCCCCCCCCCGCAGCCGAGCCGTGCCCGGAGCCCACCATCGTCCCGTCCTACTACACCACGTCCGACGCCGTCATCTCCTCCGAGAGCGTCTTCGTGGTGGAGATCTCCTTGGCCTGCAAGAACGGCGCTCAGGTGGGGGGCGCTGGGGTTTTTTTTGGGGGGGGGGCTCCCGGCGGGTCCCGGCTCTCAACGCGGCCTCTGTCCGTCCCGCAGAACGTGGCTCTGTACGCTGACGTCAACGGGAAACAATTCCCCGTTACCCGCGGGCAGGACGTGGGGAGATACCAGGTGCGGGGCTCACGTGGTCCGGGTTGGGTCACGTGGTCTGGGCAGGGGTCACGTGAGGTCTGGGGGTGGTTCGAGGTTTGGGGCGAAATGAGGATTTTTGGGGTCTACGAGAATA